ATGAGAGCAGGAGCCAGATTTCTAAGGGACAAGGACTGAGGAAGTGGAGATAGCAGAGAGAGCTTTTGGGGGCATGTGAAAGGGAGAAGAGCTGTAGGACAGGGGTGTGAGAGGGGTTGGTTGGTTTGTTTTAGGAGGAAGAGACCAGGGTCTGTGTAGACAGGACGAAGTGAGCCAGTGCCCAGATTTGTGAGGAGTGGGTCAGCTTTGCAGAGAAATCTGAAGATAGTGGGATCAGTGGGGAGAAAGGTGCCCGAGGGTGTGCGAGGCCTCTGTTCCCTCCCTAACGTAAGAGGTGCTGCCCGCTGCTTGCAAGGTGAAGGGAGAGATGAGAAAAGGCAGGGGCCAGCTGATAGGAAGACCACAGGATTTGGAGTCTCCTCAGATCTGAATTCTGTCTCTGCCACTTAGGACCTCTGTGGCCTTGAGCAAGTCACTTCCCCTGTGTGGGTGTCCCTTTCTTCATCTGTCAAGTGGGAGGTTGGACTAGGGCATGTCTTCGGTTCCTTCCAGCTCTTAAGTCCTGGTAATAAGTGCTTATTCATTCTGATTTGGTGTTTCCTGTGTATGAAATAGGAGTTTATGAAGGGTGTCCAGAGGCTTTGTCCTCTGCGAGTCCAGTTCGGTTAGGGAGGCTAAACAGTTGCTTTTGGTGACTTGAGGCTTGCTATAGGACTACCTTGCTGAACTTCCGAGGAGCATATTGAGCCTGACTGTCCCATAGAGAGGGTTATAAATAAAGCAAGTGTCCTCTTTGCTTCATTTCCCAAACAGTTGGCACCTGCTTCATGCAGCGCACCATCCTAGGTACTAGCATGGTAGACAATTTGGCTAAGACTGTTTCCCTCCCAAGAGCTCATAGTCATGGCAGGTGAGTTCACTAGGTGAAGCCTGAGAAGAGCAGCTCGTTACTGATTGGGGGGATCAGGGAAGGTCTCCTGGAAGATGATGACCTTTTGAGTTGAAATTTAGAAGATGGGTCGGTAATAACAAGCAAATAAATGATGAGTAGGCACATAGGAGGAGAAATGACATTTCCAGCATAGGGAGCGAAGAACAGGCACAGGGATGGAAGAATATATTGTTTCTTCAGAGAGCAGCCCAGCTTAGCTGGCCCAGAATTGGGGAGGGGGGAAATGAAGGGCTAAGGCCCAAAATGTAGGCTCATGCCAGGTTATGGAGGCCTAAACTAAATTTTGGGCATAGGATTTGGAGTTAGTAAATAATGGGGCCCTTGGTGACGGTTTTGGAGTAGAGACTAGGAATCTGTCCAGCTTTGCACATAGAAGAGATGATTCTGGCATTGATGGGGGATGGTGGTGGGTGGGAGACATCGGGAGCCTACTGCAGTAATAGAGGTAGATGGGAATGAGGGCCTGTGCTGGGGCGTAGCTGAGCACGTTGCAAGGCTAGCGTTGACAGGATTTGGTCAGTGGTTAGCAGTGAGAGGTAAGAAAAAGGCAAATGTGGTGAATGAAAAGTTGGAACTTTCGGAAGCCAGGTCCAAGCCTATGACTGTCATTGATAGGACTATTGAAACCACAGCCCATATTGGCTGGTGTTAGCAAGAACAAGCCCAGATTTGCAACAAAAACTCTTAGCACAGTGTTTGGCACAGAGTTGACGATAAACATTTATCGACTGATTGATAAAGGAATTCTCTCCATGTCTTTACCAGGCACCGCCAGGGGCATACGTCTTGGCGGGAGTTACCTACCTGAATGATCCTTGGGGTGGGGAGGGCAGGGCTATACACATGGGAAGAGGAGAGTCCTCTCTTTTGTAAGCTAATAGGTTCCAAAATTTAGTAAGCCAGGAAGCATGGAAGTCCAGAAATTTAAATCAAAAAGAGCAGTTGCTATAGTGGGTCGAAGTCATCCTGACAATGGCACCAGGCATTGGTACAAAATCACAGAGTTCAGCATTGTAAGGGTCCAAGCTATATCTGAAATACTCCATTATACTGTAACTGATGGCCACTGACAAGTGGTCATTTCATCTCCTTTGAAAGACCTCCAAGGAATAAAGTAACCCATCCCATGTCCCACAGCAGCCTATTCATGAACAGCTTGAATTTTTAGAAAGGTTTTTTGACCTCAAGCTTCTTTTTAAACTTCTGTACCTTGTTCCTGGTTCTGCCCTTTGGGGCCTACTCCCTGTCTGGGTGGAAGCCTTCCAGATACCTGAGGACATTTGAGTTCTCCTGAGTCTTTACAAAGAAAAACATTCTCATTCCTTTAGTTTGTTCATCTGCCATGGATGGCCATCCAGGCCCTCAGCTATCCCGATCACCCCCTCCTCTTGGACACCTGATGCTTCATCATTGTTCTCCTTAAACTTTGGTGCCCAAACTAAACACAGCCCTCCAGATTGGCGTGGCCAAGGCCAGAGGACGGTGAGGTGAGGACCATCGCTCCTGGAGTTCACAGGAGCCAAGGAGGTTGGGATCTCAGAGAGTCCTCACTGCTGGCTCACGGAGCTTCCTAAGACCCTCCAGCTTTTCAGACAGATCCTGCTTACCTGGGTCTCCCCTGTATTCGGAGAGTGGATTTTTGGGAAGCCCAAGGGTAATACTTTACACTTCTCTTTAATGATATTTCATCTTAACAGATTCAGTTTAATGCCTTAGCCTGCCACAACCTTTCCTGACTGTCATCCTGGATGTGTTAGCTATCTCTCCTTGCTTCTTGTCATCTTCAGATTTGATTAGCACGCCTCTTGGGCCTTTCTCCAAGTCATCGATAAAAATGTTAAACAGCACAGGGCCAAGCTCAGATCCCCAGGGCACTGCCTAGTAACAACCACTCTTGGAGTCTGGCCATTCAGCCAGTTCTGAATTAATCTAATTGGATTACCATCTAGTCCACATCTGTCCACCTTTTCCACATGTGTGGTATGAGATCAAATGCTTTGCTAAACTCTGTAGGCCTGCTATGCTAGACCAGCCTACTCTGATAGGAAAGACTGCCCTGCTGAAGCCTCGTGATCCATCCCAGAATTTTCACCTGAAGAGTAGGCGTGCTCACTGGCCTCCAGTTTGTCGACTCCCCAGCCCACGACAATTCTCCCGATTTTTTCCTATTCTCTAGCGTGGTTTAGTGATCGCACCTGCTCATTCATTTGGGCCGGCTCACTAGAAGGCATCAAGGGCAGCTAGGTGCTTTAGTCACCCGTTGAGTGTCACTTCCTCAGTGATTGTTTTTCTCTTACTCTCCTTGGTGAAGAAAACAGATGTAAAATAGTGATTGAGCAGGTCCGACTTCTCTTTGTTGTGGTTTATCATCTTTCCATCCACTCCAGGCAGCCCTCTGATCCCTCAAGTTAATCCTTTTCTGCATGTCTTAAAGAATTTTATTTCTTGTCCTTGACTTGCCTCATGCACCTCAGCTTGTTCTGAGCTTTAGAATTCATGGCACTATTCTTACAGGATTGTGCCCTGTTTTTGTATTCATCCTCTATTACCTATCCTCTTTCTCTCTTCTGAGGGGTCTTTAGCCTGGGTTAATGAGTTCCCTGTGTACCTATCAGTAACTGCAGACAAACCCCCTTTTTCTTCCTCATTAGAATTGTTTTTCTTTGTCTTTAGAATTTCATTCCTGAGTTTCCCATCCCTTCTGGGCTCATTTCCCCTGAACCACCTAGGGTACATGTCAGACTATGTTTCCTCTCCTCTATCACTATTTCTGACCTGCCACTGATAGGGGAGAGAATACTTCTCACCAGCCCTTCAGCCACCAGCTGATTAGCCTCTTCCCTCGAGGCCCCCCCCCAATCTCCGTAGCTCTTGAAGGCCATCTTCTTTCTCAGGTATGGCATGATTTCCCATCACTATGAAATCACGCATATCTGCGAGTGTCTGAAAGGAGCTTTTACGCTACAGTGAAAACACTAGGACAAGGGTTTCTGGGAACAATGCACACAGCCCTCCCAGCTTCTCATTTCCCTTTGCTCAGAACCCCCTCGTTCTGCAGTGTGGTTTATTTTTCTCTAAGGAGTAATTACTGTAAGTGTGCCTTTGTTTCAAATTAACAAGCATTTATTAAGCACCTGCTATGTGCCAGGTTTGGGCAGCTAGGCGATGCATTAAATAAAAGTGCCAGAGTCAGGAAGACCTGAGTTCAAATCCAGCCTCAGACACTTCCTAGCTGTGGCCCTGGGCAAGTCACTTCACCCTGTTTGCCTCAGTTTCCTCACCTGTAAAATGAGTTGGAGAAGGAAATGGCAAACCACTGTGGTATCTCTGCCAAGAAAACCCCAAATGGGGTCGTGGAGAGTCAAACATGACTGAAATGACTGGACAACAACAAAAATGAACCAGATGCTGTGCTGAGCACCAGGGATTCAAAGAAAAAAAAAAACCAGTCTCTGCCCACAAGGAGCTTCCAATCTAACAGGGCAGACAACATGAAAACACTGATGTACATACGAGATATATAAAGGATAAACTGGAGATACTCTCAGAGAGAAGACGCCAGCATTAGGAGGATCGAGAAAGGATTCTTACGAAAGGTGGGATTTTAGCTGAATCTCAAAGGAATCCGAGGTTAATTCTAGTGCTTTCCTTCTGTTTGATAAGCTCCAGTTTATCCAATCCGTATCTCATTTGTACATAGTTGATTGCAAGTTGTCTCACCTGTTAGACTGTGAGCTCTTTGAGGGCAGGGGCTGTCACTGTTCTTTGTCTCTCCAGGAGGTTAGCACAGTACCTGGCCCCTGGTGCAGTGCTTTTTGACTGACTGACTGACTAAGGAAGGAGGACACAGGGAGGGGGACAGCCGGGGGCAGCCTGTGAAGGTTCCCAGGATCTGGAGGCGGAGCTTCTTGTGGGAGGAATAGCGAGCAGGCCAGTGTCGCTCCATATCTCCTTCCTCTTGGTTTCTCCAGTTCACCCAGGATGGTCTTGTGCAGGTAGTAGGCACAAAGAAAGATTTCTTGAGTGAATACATCAAAACTCTTTGTTAAAGAGGTTTCTTATGGTGTCTCCTTATTTTTTTCCTTAGTGCTCCTGAAGTTCCGTACAGATAAAGGGCGGGACCCTCAGTCGGATGCATACGGTGAGGATTCCGAGTTGTTGCTTCAGATCCGAAATGATCTGCTCGAGTCCCTGGGGGTGAACCCTGATCTGCTTCCTGAAGACTTTGTCAGGTGGGTCTCTCCAACATCTCCCATCCCTCAGACCTCTCTCAGGCCCCAGCCCCCTTAGCTCCCAGCATCCTGTGAGGTGAGAGAAGATGCCATTTCACAAGTGAGGGGTAGAGTTTTACTCACGGTCCCATTAGTCTCAGAGTCAGGATTCAAACTCAGGACTCCTGATTCCAAACCCAGAACTCTTTCCACTACACCCACCAGTCATCAGGCATTTATCAAGCAGCACCTGTGTGCCAGGCACTGTACTAGTGCTGAAGACACATACATAGAAATGAAACAGTCTCTGCCCTCTGAGAACTGGTACTCCATCAGGGGAACCAATATGTACTCATATGTGTAGATTAAAATATACATAGAACTTAACATAAGGTAAGTAAAACAAATTTAATTCCAGATTTGTACCACATTTGGGCTGAACAATACATGGTTTGTGGGACATAACCCTGGAAGAAATCCAACCGGACCGTGGTTGAGGCGCCTGCCCACTAGTGGACAAACAAGAAGTGTTACTTGTGGAGGGCAGTCTTGATTTGGGAGAGCTGTGGCCCCTCGAGCAGTTTTTGTTCAGAGAAAGGAAATTCCTGGAGCTGACAGGCTTTCATTCTACCCCCTTCTCAGCTCCGTTCTCCTTGGCTTGTGTTTAATTGGACCAGGTTGTGTTCTAGGCAAAGGGAAGGGGATGAAGAAGAGGAGGGAGAGCTTGGCTCTCTGTGATTTCCCTCCTCTAAGGGCGGTCTCCCTCAGTTCAGCAGTGGGGTCCTTGTGAGGGTGGCAGCATCCTCGGATGCACTTCAGAAGTCCCCCCATCTCCCTTCTGCCTTCGATGAGGACCTCCTCCAGACCCCAGGATGTCCTGTCATTACAGGTCAGCCTCAGGACCAGCAGTGGCCTTGAAGCAATTTATTCCTTTAGAACCACTGCCTTAGAAGGAATTAAAATCTATGGGGAATGATGAAAATAAGAGAATTTTTGGATATGAAAAAAAGGAATTTAGAAAGTACTCCTTGCCCCCACCCCTATCATTTTGCAAATAAACAAATTCCCATGAGGAGAAGAGACTTAGCTGAAGTTATCTTACTAATTAGGAGCACAAGCCAGACAGTGCTTTCTCCACTGTGGTGTTATAAGAAATTCACCATAAAAATCATGCACAAAGAGGCCTTTGACAGTCTTTTTGTGCAAGTTCCTGGCTTTACGGTGAGGAGGCTGGCCTGAAGGAGAGAGATTGTTCCAAGGTGATTCACCTCAGTAACAGCAGGGCTATAGCCAATATCCAGGTCTCTGGGCCCTCATGGAAGGATTCTTTGTCATTTGAAATCTCTAAATAGTCTTGAGAAGAACTTTGACAAGCCTGCCGCTTGGACCCATCACGGAGATTATACACTTAGCAAAAGAGTTGAACGATTTCCCATTTTTCCCTTTAAGAGTCCTCCAGTGGCTCATCCAGGCAGGAAATGTCCCTGAGGATAGGGCAGTGTGGCCTCCGGCCCATCCTTGCCTGGGTGACCCTGGGCAAGTCACGTATCCTGTCATTGCTCCAGGCAGCTCTCCGGGTTTCCTGAGGAGAGCAGGGAGCCTGTCCCAAAAGATGGTTCCCAAGGCTAATGGAGTCACTGGTCAGGATCACAACCAGGGGAAGGGAGGAAATGGTCTGCAGTGAGAGGGAGTATATTTAGAAAAATAACTAAAAGTGTAAAAAACTAAAAGATCAGGGGGTTTTTTTGGCGTTAGGTCTCTCCCAAGTTGGGAAGGCTTTGTGAATGGCACGGTTGATAGAATCCCTTTCTTCCCTGGCCCAGCCTCTCTGTGCTCAGGCAGCTCGTCAGGCCACGTGCAGGGAGATGCATTGTTGAGCCCCATCAGCCCTCAGGCAGGGCCTGATCTGGCGCAGGGAAGACGGGCACTAAGTGAGAGTGGGTCCTGAGGCAGAACTCACACTCCTGGCCCCCCATCAGAGGGACGCCGGAAAAAGCAGTTAACAAGAAAGATGTCCTTGCAGGTATCCTACAGATGGACACACTCACCCTGAGCTGTAGTAGCTGAAGAGAAGGCTGGTTTAGCCGATGATGATGCACAGTCTTCAGAAGGAGTCTGTCTTTCTCTTTGCTATTTTCTCTTTCCCTCTTCTGTTCTCCTCCTCTTCCTCCTCCTCTTTTCCCTGAAAAGGATAAGGGAGTGGCCAGGTAGGGTGCAGGGGAAGGAGCCAGAAGGTAGAAGATTCTGTGACCAGGCGGCCTGGTGAACACCCAGCCCACGCAAGAGGCCAAGGTCTTCGACCCCGCCCAGCCTCACGGGAGCCTGGCTCGGACTTGGGGTCTCCTGGGCATCCTGGTGCCTGCACAAATGAGCTGTTATTGGCTCCCCTGGGGTTTTCACTTAGAGCCTGGGGGACCTTAGCATTTTTCCAGGTAATTCACTTGTGTTTTCAGAGGTAATGAATAGGGTCAATTTACCAGGGACTTAGGAGGCTGGAGGCACCGTTCTTGCATGCCCAAGGGACCTGTTTTGTTTTCTTGTTGTCTCCCGTTCCTTTTGGCTAAGATGACTTTGTTGGTCATCTTGCGTGCTGGTGATTTTAGCCCCTTTCTCTTCAGGTTGACAGGAGACCGTCTGAATGGAGGGCCTGGACCTAGCTCTGCCCCCCGGACATTAGACACATGACTTGAGCTGAGAAAAGGGTATTTTCCCTATTTTCTTGCTCTAGTGAATTTGCTCTTTATTAGTAAGGTCTCATCATTAACTTAAAAAACCTGTTGGGAACTCAGTAACCTTCCTGGTGCCGAGGGCTGGCCGAGCCCCTGATTCCTGGGATGTTGTTGGAAGAGATCTTTGCCTTGGGGGTTCCCGGTGATCTTAGGAAGTGAGCAGGCTCTGATCCCGGGCACTCATTTTTGTGTAGGCAGTGAGGACAATTTCCTGTGTTCGTATCTTGGTTTCAGCCCCCATGCAAACCTTCCTACATGTTAGCACAGGCCTGTTCCTTGGCATTTGTCCATGAGGAGCATATAGAATCCGCTCCTGACTCTGTGCTGAAGAGAATGGTGAGAATGTGACCGGGGCATGGAAGCATCTGAGACTGACAGGGCCTTATTTTTAGGAGGTGCTGGCAGGGGGCGGGGGCAGGGGTGGAGGTGGGGGTTGGGGGAGGAAGAGATGGAGAGAGAGAGATCAGGAGACTTATTTGTTAGTTTGTGTTAAAGGTGTAAGTTGTGAAAGAAATCCCAGCAGAGTTCCCAAGTCTTCCCCCAGCATCTCCTAGCCCTTGGATTGGGTTGGCTTTTCACAATTAAATGTCAGTTCATGCTGCTGCTTGGTCAGAGGCATGGTCTCTTGAGGGGAACCTCTGCCTCACGTCTCTTTTGTTTTCCCTTTCCTTTAGCTACTGCTTCTCTGAGATGGCACCAGTCTGTGCAGTTGTTGGTGGGGTGCTGGGACAGGAAGTTGTCAAGGTAATTAATATATGAATGTATTTTGAGAGTTATCTAGCTTGAAGAGAAATGAATGTTTCCTTGGGTCTTGCCTAATGTCCACCACAACTCTCTGCTCTGCCCTCCTTCGGCCTTTATGTGCACAGCACCAGTGTCCTCAGCATGCACCATGGTCATTTTTGTGTGATGAAGAGGGCGTGGCAGAGAAAAAGAACTGTGTGGGACCCAAAACAAGGACCTCCTGGTGGCTTTTCTTGGGCCACTCAGGGATTTGTTCATTTCTTCCTCAGAAGAAGAAAATTACATAAATATTGATAATAACACTTCTCCCGTGACTGTTGATAGTAGCGAATGACTAAATGAGAGTGTGTGTGTGTGTAAGATTTCAGCGCATCCAGGATTCCTAATTCACCAGTAACAGCTGACATTTTTGGAATCCTGGGTGCCCCAAATTCAGTGTCCTTTTTCATGCTTATTTTTCAGCTCCTTTGTTCAGTCTTTACCGGAGGTGTTTATTTTCCTTTGCCTTAGCTCTACGTCACATCTATGCTCCCTGAATCCACATTCCTTTACTGAAGCTTTGTGTTGCCCATCCTTTGCCCTCCTGGCATATGGTCCATCTTGTCATTGGCCTTCTTAAACTGTGGCACCCCAGACTGCCCCCTTACTCTCGGGGTCTGGTCGGGACGTGGGGACTGTCTCTCTCCACACTCTTAAGATTTCATGAGCAGGAGTGAGGAACGTGGAGAGGACAGAAAAGTGCATGTGCTGGAGTGGTGAGGGCCGCCCATCTTTGCCAGCCTGTCGAGGCTGTGCCCTCTGGCCCTGGCTGGCCAAGGCTTCAGGAGCCTGGCAGAGACAGCTCTCCCCCATAACACTCCTTAGGCTTGATCAGGTTTTCCATTCTCTACCCAGAGTGGTGCCCTTGCCCCCTCTGTACGTGACAGTGTCTCTCTGTCTGGTGCCCATCTCTTCACCGGCCCCTCCTGCCTACTCTGACAGCTGTCGGCTCGCGTCCTGTTTCTGTTTACCCCAGATGGCCAGAGTACTCCACATTCTTGGCCCGGGGTGTGTTTGGAATCCCTTCCTGCCCCATCCTCTTTACCTCTTGCCCCCTAAGTCTGCTGTCTTGTGGAGCTGTCCCTGACCATCCCCGCCCCCATCATGCCAAGCCCGTTTCCTGTACCCTTGGCAGCTCAGGCTCTCCAGTAGGCCTCAGTACCCCAGGGAGTCCTTTGTGTACTTCAGAGCCTCATGTAAATGTGAGGTGCTGTTATGGCCAGAGTTGGGGTGAGAAGGTGGGATAAGTGGGCTTCCCCTGGGCTCAGAGAGCCCCAAAGTGTTAGAGCTGGACAGGAATGTAGGAACATTCCAGTCTAGCTGGGTCCCTCTACAGAGAACACAGACTCAGTGGCAGCCAGGTGTCGTTGACGCACTCCTGAGGCCCTTGTTCTCTGCACTGCCCAAACTGGGGTGCAGGAGTCTGCCAGCAGATGCTACTCTCCCCCTCATCCCTCCCACATTCAGGCACTCACTCACCTGAAGGGTGGCGGCTGGCCTGCCGCTTTAACGTCTACCTTGAGGCTAGCTCTGTCTCTGGCATCTCTGAGAAAGCCACTTGAATGTGTCCAGAGATGGGAAACTCACTTCACAATTGGAGTTGTTAGAAACTTGCCACCCCCGCTGTCTCCCTGGAAGTTTTCCAGCCGTGGTCCTAGTTGTGTCCCTGAGCCCGCAGGTTTTCTGAGTGAAGGGACAAGCCAGTTTCTCTGTAGAAGGCCCTTGAGGAGAAAACTGACCCGTCCCTGCCCGCATGTGAGAGAGCCTCATTTTTCATCTTTCACTTCTAAATACTAAAGTGGAAATTGTTTTTCTGACTCCCTCCTTAGGCCCTGTCTCAGAGGGACCCTCCTCACAACAATTTCTTCTTTTTCGATGGCATTAAGGGAAATGGGATTGTCGAGTGTCTTGGTCCAAAATGAAAGCAAGCCTTGGGCCCCTGGATGATGACCTGCAGACTGCCATCGAAGTCCAGGCGCAGCCCCTCCCCAGTGCCCCAAAGAGGAGAGGCTTCAACATTGGGATTCAGCAGATGTGCTTCTTGCCGTCATTAACAGATGCTGGTCGATGCAAGGGGGCTTGGAGATTGACTGTTAGTGTCTCAGCACGAATCCATGCCATGTTTGTCCTCCCTGGGTAGAGGTCACCTACCCCAGCCAGGCTTTCTTCCTTTGTTATTGTTCTTGGGAGCTTCTCACCACCCCCACCTTATTCCCCACCTGAAGTCATGGGCAGAGCAGTCTGGCTTCAGGTGGGGAATAAGGTTCCAGATTTAGGCAGGTGCCCTTGGGCAAGGCACAGGAAGGGAGGGCACCAGGACCTGGCACAGGGCTTGGCAGTTTAGTTTAGAATCTCTTTGTTAGAGTCCAATTTAAATTGGGGCTTGCTCCTGTTCTCTTAAGAGTCAGTCACCCACAGAGTAGGACATCACTCTCTTTGGCTTCCTAAAGGGATCATTGTAACTGACTAACAGTTGGAAGCATTTTGAGGAAAATCTAATTTAAAAATCACCCCTCAGAAAGGCCGAGCCCAGTGCCTGCTACTGCAGGCATTATTATATAAGCTAGCAGAATCATTCACATAACCTTTTAGACAAGTGTCTTGCATTTTTCATGGAGTGGGGGGGGGGGTTGTTTTTTAGTAATGCATCATTCTTTTGGCCATCCTAGAATGGCAACTGTTGTGTTTTACCATGTTTTCTATGTTTTCCTGGATTCTCAAGAACATAATAAAATAAAGTTGGTTGCTTCCGGGTTTGTCTTTCTTGAGTGCTGGAAATCTTTTCAGAGAAGAGGACTAGTTTCCTGACAGTGGCCTCTTGGATCCTGAAGGCGCCCTCTTTGCTCTGGCAGCCCGAGCTTCTTTCCCGCCCTTGGCCTTGGATTCTCACCACATTCCTGGGGATTACAAGAAGGGTTGAGAGTTTAGACACAGGGAAAGGGGTCGGGATTTGAGTGGTGCAGTGCCCCAGAGTCTCAGGGGGAAAGAAACTGTCATCTGCTAAATAATTCCCCTTAATGATGGCCGGGAGACAGAGAAGTTCAGAACAAGGAGGAACTGTTGATAGGAGGCTGTGTTCCTGTGCAAGGATTGGCTGCAGTCAGCCCAGTTCCCGCTCGGTGTCTGCTGGCTGTGGGGCTGTGCCTTCCCAGGGAGAAGGCTCTATTGGCTGCTTCTGTTGTCGGGGAGGCTGAGTCTGCCCTGGCTGCAGGCGCTCCTGCTCCCCCTCGAGCCTGCACAGGAGAATTCAGTTCAACCAACACTCAATACCTGCTGTGTTTGCTTAATGGGCTAGGTGCTAACCTTCAGCCGATTGTAGATTCTTAGAAGGCAGCCCGCAGCATTGAGCCTTTAGAAAGGGGCCTTGGAGATCATCCGAGCCAGTTCCCTCCTTTCTCGGGGAAGAAGGCCGAGGCTGCCCGGCTTTGCTGGTGCCTGCCTCTGGTCACATACAGGTTGTCAGTGGGGTCAGGCGGGGAAGCTTGGCGCCCTCACTAAAGGATCTCATCCTCTTACCACTCTCCCTGCACCGTGTGTAAGCATGTTCCTAGCATGCCTTTCCTCAAAGCTGAATGAAGCGAGGCTGTGTGATGTCCTTTGGGTCTGAGATCACCAAAACTGTGGCTCTCAGACTTCTTGGTCTCAGGACTGAGCCCCTTTACACTCTACATGTGTGCTCTCCCCACCTTAAAGAGCTTTTGTTTACGTGGGTTTTCTCTGCAGTTATTTACCATTGGAAATTAAAACATCTTAGTATTATTTTGAAAAAGGTATTGACCTCTCAGACTCCCTGGAAGGGTCCGAAGACCCTGGGAAGTGCATGGCTTTGGTCATGAGGGGGAGCCAGGTCGAAGTTGGAAGGAGCCCCGGGCTGGCATCCACTTGTCATCTTCAGGCAAGCTCCTATTTGAAGATAAGTTCACTTCTCATGTGAGCAGCTCTAATTAAGGAGTCTACTCTAGAGGAGTGGGGTAGTAGCTGGGGTCTAAGTGATGGAGGAACGGGGATTAGGGTTGACTCACAATACAAAGGATATCACCTTGTAGAGGTTATTAGCTTTGGGTTGACGTAAAAGGACCAAATTTAGCAATTTTGCCTTTACATTAAAACCAGACAACAGGTAGAAAAGTGGGCCGGCTTGATTCTATGAAGTCTGCCTATTGGGCAGTGTTCCTGGGCATTTGGAATGTTCCAGCTACCCCAGAAGAGGCCCGCCCTGAAGCCAGGGAAGCGAAGAAATCTTTTTCATTGGTGGGACCTATTGGATTTGGTCCCCCAGCAGCATCCTTCACTTGATTAAATTTAGGTATTTACCCAAAGTTGTTGGGCAACTGGGTGGCACAGTGGCTAGAGCTCTAAGCCTGGAGTCAGGAAGATCTGAGTTCAAGCCTGGCCTTAGACACTAGCTGTGTGACCCTTTTTTGCGCAAGTCACTATGTGAGTGCTAGCTAGCTAGCAGCACTAATTGGAAGAGCCAGAATTCACACTCAGTTGCTTTCAGTTTGATTTTATTAAGTGCCAGTTGTGTGCTTGATAGGAACACAAAGGAATAAAAATTAGTCCCCTTCCTAACTGGGGGCACTTCTTTATATCATTTCATCTAACCTTCCCTGACTCCTGGGCTGCTCCTGTCCCTGGGACCAATGGAAGCCTTAATCCTACAAAACCCCCAAGTCACGGAAAAGGAGGGTAACATTTTCCCCAATGCCTTCTGATCGATAGACATTTATTAAGCACCCACTCTGTGGCCAGGCACTTTGCTAGAAAGCTGAAGGGGGACAGGTCCAGAGATGTCTCAAAGCAGTGCATCTGGTAGAATGAGAAGTTGTCTTGGTCCCCCTCCTTCCCTGGAACTTTTGGAGCTCACAGCTCGATTCTCGATTGGAGAGTGTCCAATCGGAGGGGCAGAGGGCTCCCAAGGAGAGGACCAATGCTGACTCGGTCTTACAGGATGGTAAGTTCTGTTCTCCCCAACTACGAATCCCTTCCTCCCCTCCATGACCGTTGATGTATCTGTCAGATCCAAGGTGAACCCCCTGAAGGCCTGGGCTCTTTGGTTTTTGTTTTGGTACCCCCAGCATCTTGGACAGGGCCTGACAGGTATGGGTGCTTAATAGATGTTTATGAATGGTTTATAACCTCTCCAGTCTCCCTGGGGACTTTTTCCTGTGAAATGTCTCCCCACCACTCCCCTTCTTTATCTTGCATATTTTTACTGATGTACTAAGGCTTCATGTGATGGCTTCTCATTAGGCAAATCCTTCTACTACCTGGCTTTCTGAGAAGTCTGCTTCTCTGTTCCAACTCTATTCCACCTGCTAGCAGCTTTTCCCTAATGACTTCTGATCACCAAGGAAGCAGGTCCTGTCAGTTTCTACAGCTGTCTTCAAGCCAGACAGCGCCCCCCCCCCCAGCCATAGCCCTCTCACAGGCCTCACCCCGTCAGCCCAAGAGCTTTCCGCCAATCTCATTGATAATTTGGCTCCTACTCACTATTTTCCTCCTTAGACCTGAGTCCTGTTCACCTGGAGCAGGCAATGTCCTCTGGCTTATCCACGGCCAATTAGTGTAATCAGGCAGTAATGGCATCCAGGCAGGGAACTCTGAGAGCAGACAGTCAGGAGTCCCCCGAAGAGAGTATGCCTCCTAGGAACCCCGTGAGGAATGCCCAATTGTGGGCTCATTGCCAGAGGACATAGGTGAAACATGAAATGTCAGAGCTTGAAAGAGCCCTTAGAACAGACTCCCTGGGGCAGACAATCTGCTGAATGAAGCCTAGAGACCCTTGGCAAAATGACGTCTTTAAATACAGAACAAAATACATAGGATTACAAAGGAAATCAGTTACATAAAAATACAATTATTAAAAAAATTTTTTTTGAGCAAATTCACCCATTCTAAGAACTCCATCAGTAGGCATTATGGTTTTAAAGCAAAGATCACATAGGACTGGGCTGCAGTAATTCATAGGGGTGAGGGGTTAGTACTAATACAATAAGTTCCTAACACAAGTTAATATATGTTCTTAGAACAGCCGTAACTCATACAATAGTAAATCAATCTCATAAATCAATTAGAAGTAATGCTATCATCAATACATAATTGGTTGTAACTTATGTAACTCTTATTCTTACAGCATTAACTAACATAACTAACTCAAAATTAATTGTTTTCACTACACTTACTAATACAATCACTGATGCCCATTAAATCACAGTAACCCGAGTGAGTATTGATTACATCCAGTAGAGTTATCAAAATTAGCCTCACAGATTCAAGTTCTCTTCATTCAGATGATTCTCAGATCCAGCCCTAACCTCTCTCCTGGCCTTCAGTCTTATTTCTGGTTGCCTCTTGGACAGCACCAACATCCTCCAAGCACCAGACTGTTTCACCACTCACATTCAATCTGTGGCCAAGTCCTGAAGATCAGCCTTCATACTATCTGTTGAGTGTGTCTGAGCCACGGCCCTCACCCCCTCACCCATGCAGATCCTCATTGTCTCAGGCGAGTGAGTCTGCCTGCCTGCCTCAAGGCTCCAACCCTTCCTGGACTATTGCCATAGTCCACTGATGGGTGTCCTTTCCTCAAGCCTCTCCCCACCCCAGTCCTTCCTCTTAGTGGTCTTACAAAAGCACAGGACTGACCATGTCACCCCAACCTCCACCCCCATCCTTCTTTTCTTCTTCAAGCTTCTGCTGACTGAAGGATCAAATAAATCAATAACCATGGGATTATTATATTAATAACCCTCTGTTGAGTTTTTAAAGCCTTTCATAACCTAACCTGCAGTCTTCTCACATCTTCCCTCCACTTACTCCATAATCCAGTAACACGGGCCTCCTTGCTGGAGGACTCGACATGTCCTGACCCTGGGGATTTTCACTGACTATTGTCCTCCTCCCCATCCCCCCACACCATTCCTAGAATGCTCCCCCTCCTCATCTCAACCTCCTGGTTCCTCTGGCTTCAAGTGTCAGCTGAAGTCTCACCTGTAGGATACCTTTCCTAGTGCCTCCTTCTGAAGTTACCTTCCCTGTATATATCTTCTTGGTTTTTTGTTGTTTTGTTTTTGTTTTGGGGGGCAGTTGCCCAGGGTCACACACCTAGTGTCTAAGGTCAGATTTGAATTCAGGTCCTCCTGACTCCATGCCCAGTGCTCTAACCACTGTGCAACCTAGCTGCCCCTATTTGTATATATCTTGTATATTTCCTTGTATATATCTTGCATATTACCTTATATATTTCTTGTATATTACCTTGTATATATCTTGTATATTACCTTGTATATAGCTTGTATATTACCTTGTATATTTCTTGTATATTACCTTGTATATTTCTTGTATATTACCTTGTATATATCTTGTATGTGCATAGTTGTAGGCATGTTGTTTCCCCTAGACTGTAAACTCCTTAAGGGCAGGGACAGTTGGGGTTGTTTTTCCTTTGTAACCCCAATGCTTGACCACAGTGGGTGGCAGGTCAGCAAGTTGAGTGAAAAAGCCATTATTAAAGGCTTACTCTGTGTCAAGCACTATGCTAAGCACTGGGGACACGAGGAGATATTCCCTGCCTTCCAGGAGCTTGCATTCTAATGAATGAGACCATATGGGAATAAGCTTTGCACAAGGTCTGTCCAGCACAGAGAACTGGTCCTAGGAGCTGGGGGGTCAGAGAAGGCCTCCTACAGAAAGCTGGGCTCTGGTGAAGGAAGCCAGGGAAAGGTGAGGGCACAGAACAGGGCAGGCCGGC